AGAATATCGTGAAAAAGTTTTTTTTTTTAAACTTATTTCAAAAAGTGAAACTTTCATATATTCTAGATTCATTACATATAAAGTAAAACATTATTTATATATAATATAAATTATATAAATATAAATATATGCATGTAAATGCATTTAAATATTTTCAAAATATATACGTGCATGTGTGTGTATTTATATATACATAATAAATATACACAGTATACACACATATATATTATGTAAACAAAAACTTTTATTTTGGATGCGATTAATCACGATTGATTATTTACTAATTCACGATTGATATATATATATACACACACACACACATTATTTCTGCATGATACCTGTTGAACTGCATATTGTTCTGGAATAATATATGGGAACATACTAGTAATTACTTCTAATTTTAAATGATTTGGCAAAATACTTGATGTCAATCAAATCATGACCTTGCAGCGACTGTGTATTTATCACTGTGAATGTTAACGATGTGCATTCTAGCATATGTGTTATTCAAGCATTAAATAAAATAAAATAAAATAAAATAACACATTAAAAAATAAAATTGTGCTTATGCTCAGTTATCATAGCTTTTAGTGTTTAGACACTGTGTAAAGAGACACTTTGGAAACGGTAAACATTTCCAGTTTTAATGATGGATAGAGGCCTATTCCAAGAACAGTAATATAATAACGTCCATAACAATAATAATAACTCTCTCTCTTGTTTGGTTCCTGGCTCATGTCACACTTAATGGCCATGGAAGACAATAACTAAAGTGCTGTCATGCACAAAAGTGAGAGTTATTTAATATCAACAGAGTTATCTAATAATGTAGGATGGAACAGAACTGTTATGAAGATTAATGGAGTTTCAGTAGTTTTTTTAAGATCACTGTCTATCCAAGATGTACTAAACCAGGGGTTATTAAACTAGGATTAGAGAAAAAACTTTGGAGTAAAAAATACAACAACAACAATGGTGTAAATAAACAAATAAACTAATAAATAAATCAATATTTGATCAAACTAACAAATAAAAAATTAAAAATAATGGTAATAAAATTATAAATTCATATTTTAATGTTATAATAATATTTTTAATTGGTATAGTATATAGTATACCCATTTGAGTTAGTATAATCTGGGTCTTTACACATAAACAATATACATCTTAAATTTTAGGATGGGGTCCCTCATGTTTAGGGGATCATATTTAGGGGTCTGTGGATTATATAAGATTGAAAACCCATGAAATGCTAAATTATGCTGAGGAAACTCTTCTGTGGTTTTGTGGAATGAACACAAACGCATCCATCCATCCTTCACACACACACACACACACACACACACACAGATGTGAGTCCAGTTTTCTCTAAATAAGGCAGCTTATCTCTTTTCCTGTCATTTCATGTCGATTCCTCTGAGTATCTCACTCTCTGTGTCTTACGCAGACATAAGCGCAACATTCCTTGCCCTTATATGGCGAAATCCCTGCTGTGGGCGGGCTCTGTTTGCGAAAACAGAGGCCTCTGATTGGCCGAGAGTGAAATGGGAGGGACACATTTCTCAAGCTGATGCTCTGGAGAAACTTTTGTGTCCCGAAAGTGTAGCAGACAGTTTTACTTTCCAGCACAGAGACACAGTCCAGTGGACAGCACAATCCATCAGCTGCAGCAGAGGTGAGTTATGATGTCTCCTTGTGCTCTGGTTTGGTTTTATGTGCTATAAAGTCTTATAAAGGCTTTCCACAGAAGCTTTGTATGAATATGGGACACTGAGGAAAGATCTGGATGGAGCTGGTGACGTATGTTGCAGTTACGGAGCTAAAACTGATCCAGGATCATCGCTCATAATGCAGAAAAAAGGATCTGATGGACATGTTCAATGCATTTCAATGCATTTCTGTTATTAGGAGTGTGTCCTCCTGAGGATACATATCATGAAAGAAACTCTTGAGTAATTGCTTCATCTGGAAAAGAGCACTTGGCTTTTTTGTGTGCCGTTGAGGTCAAAAGTCAGAGGTGAGACCCGTGACGTAACCACTGGCTGGAGAACACAACCTGAAACAGTAGAAGCAACTCATTAACAGAAATCAAGAGAGCAATTATAGGGAGAGGAGGTGAAACTTTACTGTTGTTAAACATCACTGCAGTTTTAGTGAAGCAAAATGACTGGATAGTTTGCTAATGTCTCTCTGAAAAGAGTCATTGAGGAATTCTGTGTGTTTGCCGAACCAATTTCAGAGGCAACAAACAAATGTGGGAGAACGTGATAGTGTTTGGTCGTTTATGGATATCCATAAGTGCTAAAGTTAGAGTACATTAGGATGTCCACTTAAAGTTCCTTTTCATATTTTAACCACCTTTTTGAAATGTTGGTTTGCGTTATTTAAAAATGATGGGAGTTTTAGAGAGACTCAAACCAACTAAAACACCAGAATTCATCAAATCCATAGATAATACTTACTGATGATGTCTGTGCTCCTGTTTTACCGCCATAATGATGTCATTTCCTGTAAACGAGAACAGAAAAACAGGATAGAAAGTGACATTGACGACAAAGAAAAACAAACGTGTATCAACAAATATTTAAACCCAAGTTTAACCCAAATAAATTTCAAGAATATTGTTTTATTTTTAACAAAAAAATTGATCAATTGAAATGATATTTAAACGTTTAACCCATTCAAATAAATGTCATAAATATTGTAGTTTCCACAGAAGCTATATATAAATTGTTATCCAATATATTATGACGTACATAAATGAGTGCATGGAAATGTTCTGCTGGATGATGAGCATCTGATGTCCTTCAGGCGGTCGGTCCATCTGTTTCTAAATTCCTACATTTAATCCTGTGGTGGAGCTGGACATTGTGATCTGGTGATGTGCTCAACACACACACACACACACACACACTCACACACACTCTCACACTCACACTCACACACACTCACACTCACACACACACTCACACACTCTCACAGACACACGCGCACACACACACACTCACGCGCACACACACACACTCACACACACACACACACACACACACACACACAATTAATATGAAATAAAAAAAATATTTTTATTCATTGAATAGCAGTCAAGTTTTCATTTAACAGCAATGGAATTGTATTTAACTTAAATTTACTTTAAATTTAATTTACCATTTTACATCTTATTACTTTTTATTTTACAGCAAATGTATTGGCAGCCCTATTTTTATTTAACAGCAGTGGAATTTTAACTTAACAGAACTTAATTTAATTCGACAGCAAATTTAATGCAATGCATAATTTCATTTAGCAATATTATTTTACAAGTTAAGTGAAATGTAATTGCTGTTGAATGAAAATGTGACTACCATTATATTTGCTGTAAAATGAAAATAAATTAACTAAAGTTAAGTTTAATCACGTTAAAATTCCACAGCTGTTAAATGAAAATGTGACTGCCATTGCTGTAAAAACTTTAATTAAATTAAAGTTAAATTGATTAACATTGCTGTTAAATAAAAAAAACATGACAGTCATCACTGTCTAACAAAATGTTTTTATTTTTAATTGTGTTAGTCATTTTCATTCTGCCAAAATGTGCTAGCTGTGTTTTTGACACATTTATGAAAACGCTTGCACGTCCTGATAACTATTTCCTGCTAACAAGATGTTCTACCAGCAGTCTGGTGTTTAAGTTTGGTTAGTTCTGAGAAAGAGGAACATTCAGTCAGACAAGCACGACAGCTTTAACTAACCCATTGCTCAATCTGAGCAGGACAGAACATGTTCAGATCATAAACACAGCTGTCACATAACAACTAACTTGCACTATTAACTAGTGACTGATGGTAGGTAACTTCAGCTTAACACATTTCCACCTCACCACTTTCTCTTTGGAGCGCAGGACTCCGAGTTTCCCGAAGCGCACGTGAAACGGCGAGCAACCATGTTTACGTTGTAGTACCCATGTCATTATACACATTTGTGTCCTCATAAACCATATATACCTGTACACACACACACACACACACACACACAGAAAATAAGCAGTTAGTTACTCTGTTACATAAATACTGGTCCTGCTTCATACTCACGAAACACACAGCACAATAATAATGCAGTCAGAGAGTTTAAAACACAGCATTATACTCCAAAATGAGGAAGCAATTGTAGGATATACATGCAATTTTATCCATATTCATAATAGACAGTTTAGTGCTGCATAGGCTTCTTGTTCAGTGAAAGATTAATGTGATATAAAAACACTGAGCAGGACGTTTGCATACGGACCAGGACGGCATTTGCTTACTTTATTGAGCAGATATTGAGAAACTATGAATACAAGAGCAATAAAAACACAGATATGAAAACGACTGTAGCTAACTGTGGTCATCTAGATGGACTGAATAACATTAATTACACATTCATAATGAATGATGTGTTCATAAATGTTTAATGTGTTTTGAAACAGATGGTTGTGAAATGTGTTGTTCACACACCGGGCTCAGAAACAGAAACATCATCTCTGATGCTCATGACTTTATTGGCCTTCAGTGAATCTGCTCTGTTTACAGATATAAAATGTTTTCTAGATCAAAGCTGACTAATATCCTTAAATCACCATCACTTTGGAGTTAATGGAAAAGAGTGACTGCTAACTAAATTCTTAGTCGTAAGAGGCACATCTTAAATAAGTGACTTTCGGTCTGTCTATAAATCCTTGTAATCAAAGCCTCATTACAGTCCTGCTCTCAGCCAAGTTTGGTTTCTCTGAGAGCTGGACATATACTGTGAGTCTGAGCAACTGGACCAGTGTTATTACAGGATTATTAATATTTTGAATAAAAATGTCATTTTAATTTTAGTCAAGGTTTTAGTAATTTTGTTGTTTTTGTCAATTTATTAATTAATTGTTATTTTAATTTATTACATTTTTTTGGAGAGTCGGACATATAAATATATCTTATGTGAGCATACTATAAGTCTGTGCATTTGGACAAGAGTTATTATAGGTTTGATTACTGTTTTGAAGGTTTTATTTTAATATTTTGTTTTCATTTTAATTATAAAGTTTTAGTAATTTTGTTGTTTTTGTCTTCTTTTTTTGTCAACCTTTTATTAAGTTTTATTTCAGTTTTAGGTTGAGTTCTTTTATTACATCAAGTTAACCTAAATGGAAATAAGAAAACTTGCCTTGGCAGCTATAGCTTTTACATTTATGTCAGTTACAACGTTTTTAATAATTTTAGTTTCTGAACTCTTGTCAGTGGTTATTATGCATGCTCACACTAAACGAATGATTTTGTTTTTTTTTACTATAAATCACACTGAAATCCGGTTCTGAAAGAACATACGAATCTGTGGTTCACTGATTTAACATGAATGCATTTTTACAGATGAATAATGCTGACTCCACACAACTTTTTTGTTTGGCTGGACAGTCATATATCAGACACACGCTTTCCTGTAATGACAGCTGTTGGTTGACGCCCAAATAAAGTCATTCACGTAGAAGCACAGAGACACAAAGAGAGAATGTTAGGTTGATGACAAAGACATCCATATAGCTGATGGTTTATATACTCCATCTAATAACAACAACAACAACACAATGCACATGACAATAAAAACGAAAAGTTATGAAAGAAGTAAAACTAAACGTGTCATGCAGTACACACACATTAACTCACACACATCTTTAGCTGAGGAATCTTCCAGTCATGTGACAGTGTTTGAATCATTTAGGATGTCACCCTACAAGATCTAGTCATTTTACATGAGGACATCAAGTTCATTTTCATATTTGAACCATATCTTCAAATGCTGATTTGTGGGACTAAGTGTCTTTAACTATTAAGTACTTACATTTAAATTAATCATTTGATACAATGCACTTCTTATGTGCATACATTGCACTTACATTTGAAAATACCGTCTTGTAATTACGTCTATAATTACACTGTTGACCCTATACCTTTACCCCTTAAACCTAAACATAGCTCTAAACCTGCCCCTAACCTTACCTGTATCCCACCTCGATAGCAGCAAAAGTGTTTTTTTTTTTAATTCAACATGAACACAATAGTCACATTGTACCTAACAATTAATTCTTTTATTATTTTTTTAAAAACATATAAACACCTAAAATAAAGTGGGACCAATTTGTGTATTTTAATCAAACAGGATGAACATACACAAAAAAACATTACAGAAATCATCGATAATATTCCCATTAAGCTATGAAAATGTTAATTCTGAATGTTTCACGAACATTCAAAATGTCCAGTTTTTATTAAAAAAAATTTTTCAAAAAATTAATATGAACATTAAGGGAATATCCCATTTTATAATTAATTTTTATCATTATGGGAACGTTACTATTTAATGTTCTCTTGAGCATTCTGAAACAAATAACTAGTAACATTTAAAAAAAAATGTTAAACTAAAAGAAAAACAAATTCCATAAACAATGTATAAATGTTTTGCTGTTAATGTTTTGTGAACATTATTAAAGATCAGGTACTATTAATAACTACTCTACTTCACAAGACAAGTAAAAGGCTTAAAAGAATCACAAGGGTGTATTACTGATGGATTTTAAAACTTGAACATATCTTGAGCTTGTGTTAGAAACAAACCTTTTTTCAGGCAAAAATTTTGTGAACTCCTTTCAAGGCCTACAAAAGTACACCATCCCCAATCTTAATCAATGCACATCTACTGTGGACCCTGTTATTGCAGAAGCATTAATCAACATCTTCTGCTCTTTCCAGACCTGAAACACCTTCATCATGTCCAGCAAGCGAGCGAAGGGAAAGACCACTAAGAAGAGGCCACAGAGAGCCACTTCAAACGTGTTTGCCATGTTTGACCAGTCACAGATCCAGGAGTTCAAGGAGGCCTTCAACATGATCGACCAGAACCGAGACGGATTCATCGATAAAGAGGATCTCCATGACATGCTGGCCTCTTTGGGTGAGTCTGACGGAGAGGAACTGACATAATAATAGTCTTCTGGATCAAATACTGACCTCTGCTTCGGTGTGTGTGTTACCTGTGCTCAGGGAAGAACCCGTCTGAAGATTACCTGGAGGGGATGATGAGTGAAGCTCCAGGGCCCATCAACTTCACCATGTTCCTCACCATGTTTGGAGAACGGCTCAACGGAACCGACCCGGAGGACGTCATCAGGAACGCTTTCGCCTGCTTCGACGAGGAAGGATCCGGTAAAACAAAAACTGCCTCAATATCAAGAGTCTGACCATCACAGAAAGTAGTATAAAGGCCCAAACCTGCAAAAGTAAAAATAAATACATGCAATGATAGAAAAATAAATAAAACAAATACTATTTATTGTTTGTTTGTTAATTTTAACTTATTTTTGCATTACCTTTTCCTTTGATTTATTTTCTGTATTTAATAGATTTTTCATATTTATTTGTGGGTTCATTTTCAATAGTTATTTTTTTCCGCATGCATTTATTTCCATATTTATTAATACATGCATTTATTTTTAATTTCTGCTGTTTTGGGCCTCCATAATAGAGGGGTGACATATGGGAAATTTATATTTGATAAATAAATATAGAAATACTTACGTGGGAATAAATAAATATAAAAATAACAACCCATAAACACAAATAAAAATGAATAAAAATGTAAAAAGTTACAATAATAATAATAATAAATACAGAAAATAATAAAATGAAAAGGTAATACAAATATAAATTCAGGACTAATAAGAAATATATTCTAGATGCTTATACACTCTTAAAAAATAAAGGTTCTTTATTAGCAACAATGGAACCTTTACCATCCATGGAAACTTTTCATTCCACAAAAGGTTCTTTAGATTATTAAAATGTTCTTCACACTAAGAGAAAATGGTTCTTTTAAGAACTGTTCACTAAAAAGTTCTTTGGGGAACCAAAACTGGTTCTTCTATGGCATCACTGTGAAAACCCGCTTTTGGAACCTTTATTTTTAAGAGTGTATAGTATAAGACTTAAAGGGATAGTTCACCTTCAGTTGCTGGTCCCCATTGACTTCCATAGTATGGAAAAAACACTATGCAAGTCAATGGGGACCAACTGAAGGTGAACTATCCCTTTAAGCTACATCAGTACTATATATAGGTTATACATTAGAATTTTAGAACTTTATTTAGCAAATAAAAGATATGGAAATGATTCTCTCAAAATTCAGAGATTATGCCCCAATATTCAGAGGCAGTTCACATCTCATACCTCTTGATCTACGTATTAAACAAATCGTCTGCACAGGTTTAATTCATGAAGACCACCTGCGAGAGCTGCTGACCACCATGGGAGATCGTTTCACAGATGAAGATGTGGACGAGCTCTTCAGAGAGGCTCCCATTGACAAAAAGGGCAACTTTAACTACGGCGAATTCACCCGGATTCTCAAACACGGCGCCAAAGATAAAGACGACATGTAGACGATCGGAGAGCATCAGCCGCAGCTGCACAGCGCATTACAAACACATGATCAGCATCTAGAAGTCAAAGAAAAACACATTTCGCGTCACAAATATTCCATGGTATATAAAAGAATTATTTTTTTCCTCTAAATGCATTCGATACAACCAGGTTGCATTGCTAACAATCTGTGCAGTGTGTATTTTGTGTTTTTATGGGGGACTACAGTATAAAGCAATGTACTCTGCAGCTGCGGCTGGACGTCTTTGAGTTCGGAATCTGTGCAACTCAGAAATGAAACTATTACATTGGAGATGCCATAAACCTGTAGAAAAGGTTATTTTTACGTGTGTATTTAAAAGGATTATCAGTATCTCCCCCTCACTGAGCAATATTATCAGATATCAAAAACATTATGGGTATTTAGAAATCATTAATGGAAGTACAGAAGGACAGATTCCTTAAGGTCACCTTCATTTTTCAAACTGATATTCTCCTGATAACTGAGACGCAGAATTTGGGATATGTTGATTTTTTTGGTGGTACTGCTACTTGTATTTTCCCATTAAACCGTGAATATCTGGCTTATAAAATGTGTATTTACATGTGGCAAACTACAGTGAATTCTCAAAATCATTTCTGTGCATGCATAAGTCAACAGTACTCATTTCTGGACATTTGCTCTGTAAAATAAAGCAATTTCCATTACTCCACAACATTACTACAAATCTATGAAAAACGAAGCTTTATTTCTCTGTAATGCTTGTACAAAAGGACATCAAATAAAATCTTAAGGCAGATATTGCACAGACTAGTCCAAAGGTTTTCTAAGGAAGCAGGTAAGGCACAGATGCCAGTTTTACTGTCCTCAGTTATACATACACACACACACGATCATATTAAACAAAATCCATGTATTTGGTCGTACAGGAGAGAGCTACGCATATTTGATGTATACACAATAAAAGCAGGTCTATGCCAGACAAAAACCTGAATGATATTTACATGTTTCACATTGTCATCTAGAAAAACCTTTTTGCAATAAGAACATCAATAATACAGTTCCAGGAATATTAATATTGGTCTTTCTGAAGAGGTGAAAAATAGAGTATATTATATGAAAAATATATAGTTACTTCCAGTACCTATCACTGTTCCAGTAACCCAACGATCACAGTGGTTTTGAAATGTTAGTTAATTAGATCTGTAATACAGTTTGTGATGCTACAATATGACAGTCGGTTTCTCATAATCAGCTCAAACATGGCTTCAAAAAAAAAAAAAAAAAGACGCACCTTACAGAATAGAATTAAAAACTCCCTTTGTGATGTCAGAGAAGGAAATGAAAATGACTCAAACCCAAGAAGGAAAGGTCAAATGAAAACAAACCTGAGATGTACTGAAAAACAGCAAGAAACATGTACAGTACTACAGAACGTGAACTCTAACCTTTGCACTGACCTCAATGAGAACTTACCTAAGCAAACTAATCCGAATTATGGCATGTTTGTGAGAAAATCAATTGAAATAACGTGAACAGCTTTATAAAAATACTAAAAGGTTATAAAGATGAATCTGACTATCTGTACATGTTCTCAGTTTCATTGAAACTACAAGAATAAAATCATAATGCATCTAGGATCTCTAGTGTCCAAAAAGAGAAAGAGTCTGAGGGAATAGCTCATGGAAAGAATTTTCGGTTTCTAAATAATATTTGTTAGTTCTCTAGATACATTCACAGATTATGAGAAAGAAAGAAGCACTTCAGTTCATCTCAAGAGAAGTACGAACACACTTTAAATTCATCTTGGAAATGCACAAAACTCCTTTAGCGTAAAAACAAAAAACACTTTCAGTCTTCCCAATAAATTCGCTCATACTCACCAACACATCCATATGATGTCTCCCTCTACACGGAGATATGTAAAACACAATTATAAATGCTGATCATCTACATCACCCAACGATATTGTCAGAACAATAATCATTTCAGCAAAAATAAAGCTACAGCCCTACGATCACGTTACATGAGAAGTGAAGAATATCAATGCCGGCTCCGTCTTTGAGACGACCTCCCTCCCGCATCTCAGACAGACATGAGACGTGAGGGATGATCTCTGCAGTACGATCCGTTTCCTGACAGACGCACATCACGGCACACGAGAGAGCGCTCGGACCTTATTCTGAGACCAGACAGACGGTCCTGGCATAACGACGAGACTATAAAGTGCAGGAAATATGACAAATTACAAACACTATTGGGAAAGGCTTTCAAAGCTGAGGTTGTAGAACTTTTGAGGCTTTCAGTCAAATTCGGAGCAAAGTATTAAATCCAAGAGAGCATTTTTGGTTGCTAATCTCTGATCATTTTTTAACAATGCATGCTGGTCTTTGCATTCACAGATCTCAAATAAGTAAAGCATGCTATATGACACATTTACGTCGAACCCTAGTGGATATACTGATGCAAACAGGCAAGAGCAACTATATGTGGAGCTTCTTTATCGAAAACAACGCAAGGCCACTTCAATTACAAACGTTTAAGTGAAAATCTCTTGGCTGTAAACCCGAGTTGCACAGGCTTGGAGTTTGCACATGGAAATATTTCCGCCTGAAAGGACCTCCACCTGGTCTCGAAGATCCCAGAGTCTGAAATGCTGGATTATTTTTCGAAGAGCATTTTATGCATGCCCATAAACTTCATGTAGTTAAAAAGGTAAAAGGTTCAAAACGTTTTTAAAATGTCTTAAAAAATACATTTTGGTGTAGAGAATCTTCACTCCTGAATCCCCTGAAGTGACATCCATGACAACCATTTGGGGAGGCAGGTTTACATCTGCTCAAGAGTTTTCCAACAAAAATAAGCAAACAAAAGGAGTCTAAAGTGAGTTGGTCTGCTGGAGTATTTAGTTAACCGCTTCCGTGACTGTATTATGCGTGTACTGTGAAACCCATGTGTGCGATACCACATTTGCAGGAGGACCGGGTTGTCGGACGCTCCACATCCCAGAAGACGCAAAGCTTCCAGATTCCGCATTGGTGCTTAGATCGATGGGGAGGCCTGGAAAAGCATGGCTCATGACGGGAACCGACACTGGCAATACTGCGTTCTCCATCAAGCTCGGTGCAGCATCGGATTCGTCCCTTGAAGGCACCTCCGAATTGCCATTCTGGGCGATCGCTCTTGAACTTTCGTTTGTAGGTCCGTTTGGTTGCTGCTGCATCGTTTGTTCTTTCTGCTGACTGATTTCTTGCTCGGCCGCTCGCTGCAGGGCCGCGTCCACCAGAAGCTTCAGATCGCTGAAATCTTGAGGGCAAAGCTCCGGTGGGGTAGGCGGAGGCGTGTTGAACGGGACCCCAGTCGGGCTCACCGCTCCCAGGGTTGGGACAGAGGTAGAAGCAAGCGGGATGGTTGTCAGGTACTGGTCTCCAGTTAGGCCTTCCCGTCTCAGCAGACCTCGAGTGTCCAGCTGCATCAGAGCCTGAATGCCATCTTGGTTTCCTGATGATGGCAAGCAACCGGCTCCGGCCAAAATTGCCGTCGCAGTGTTACCCAACAGCCTCAAGTCCAATGTGGGGGCGGGGCAGATGACAGAGGGGCGGGTCGAAGAGGCGGGGCATTCCGGGGAGGCGGATCTGTCTGGTTTGCTAGTGCGCCGTGACATTGTAAACTGAGTGGGGTCTTTGCCGTCTTTCCTGAGCAGGTCCGGCAGGAGCCTCCGGCGGGCGTTTATGAACCAGTTACAGATCTACGAACAAAATGAAAGACTTTTTAGAAACTAAAAATGCCATGCGAGTGATCACATTATATAAAGTTTATCAGAATACATACAGTATACTTATGTAGCCCGATATATAGTACATAGCGAATCTAAACCGCTTGATTGCTTGTATCATCACAAAATGTAAACTATAATATTGGAAGCTCTAATCAGACAAAATCCACAATTAGGCAAGAAGATATAAACATCATGATTTTCTGTATAATCTGCTTTAAAACGGTGTGTATTGTGAAAAGCGCTATACAAATAAGTTTGACTTGACTAAATGCTGAAGTTTACTCAGTGTTTAACCCTGCTCACCACAAGGTTTCAGCACTTTCTGACCGTTGATTTCTAATATTTTTTTTCCAGTCATTTGTGATGAACGGTTAAGGGATTTATTAAAAAATAAATAAAAAATAAATTACAAAACAATCACACTCACACAAACAGTTATTTCTAACCAATAAATACATTAGTCCAGGTACTGGCCTGAAACAAAGACAAGTAGAGAATAATGTTCAAATTTAGGTTACAATAAGTTTAAATTTATGATACATTTGTGGTCATTTTGCCATTTTTAGCCAATAAATACATTATAACTAACTAGAAACAGACTATAGAAATTGCAATTTCTTTTCTATGGCCATTTAAGATTTTATTAATTCCCCAGATTTTTCCAAGGCTGGAAAACCCACTTTTCCCCCCCAGGATTATCAGAGGAATAGAAAGAAAAAGCACTATCTAAAGCCAAATGTAATATTATTATATCCTAATAGGCTTCATAGTGTTTGATACAAATTTTGAACTACAGAAACTGATAAATGACTGATCCTGTCATTTATCAGTTAAAAAATTAACTGGTAACACTTTAGTATAGGGACCAATTCTCACTATTAACTAGTTGCTTATTAGCATGCCTATTATTAACATATTGGCTGTTTATTAGCACTAATAAAGCACATATTCTGCATGACCATATTCTACATCCCTAACCCTACCAATACCTAAACCTAACAACTACCTTCCTAACTGTTAATAAGAAGCTAATTAGAAGTGTATCAAGGCAAAAGTCATAGTTAATGGTTTGTTAATAGAGAGAAATTTAAAATAAAGTGTTACCAATTAACTTGCAATTTAGACATTAATTTAACATTCAATTACTATACCCATTTTATCCTCCAAAAATAACAAAAGTGCAATTTAAAGGAGGTATTGTATTGGTGATACTGTCTTAAATATTTCTTGGTACAGGATCAAAAAGAGAAAAAAAAAGCATTTTTTGAATCCTAAATTGGCGCCCCCTGATGGCGCCGCATTCCGGGGAGGCGGATCTGTCTGGTTTGCTAGTGCGCCGTGACATTGTAAACTGAGTGGGGTCTTTGCCGTCTTTCCTGAGCAGGTCCGGCAGGAGCCTCCGGCGGGCATTTATGAACCAATTACAGATCTACAAAAAAAGATTAAAAGACTTTAGATGCCATGGGACTCATCACATTATATAAAGCTTACCCAGATACATACAGTATACTAGAGCAAATCTCAACTGCTTGCTTGCATTGTCACAAAATGTTATCAAGCAGCTCTTTATATAAAGTCTGTATACAAGTATGTCCTACTTGATCCACATACATACAGTATACTAATGTACAGTGATACATACTAAATTATATGCAATATAGCAAATAGTAAAACTGCTTGATTGCTTGCATCATCGCAAAATGTAAACTATATTATTGCCCAGCACTAATCCGCTGAATGTGACTATAAGGCATGATGATATTAAGATATTACAGACATTAACATCATGATTTTCTGTCAAGCTGCAAAACAATGTTACCCTTAGTGCGGGGTGTCATATTACAAAATGTATTACGGTGTTTTGGAATCAAAACTTTTTAGAATCTTGACAAAATACATATCGTCGGAAAGGTCTGAGTCTCAAGATTCCATATTTGGTGGCATGTTGTTTGTGACAGAAAAATGCATAAAAAAATTAAATGGAGTTTGGGTGTCACCCGGTGGCCAATTTTTGTATAACGCCTAAACAAAATTGCATAGTAACCTACATTTTTTTTTATATCAACTTCAAATTTGGAACACAACTTATTTAGACATATGGATTTAATTTTATGCCAAATTTGGATTGAACAATGTTTTTTAAAATATTTATTTTATATAAAATAAAATAAAAATAGTACAGTACATTTTCTTTACAGTAAATTTTTCCCTTTCATTTTTTGAAATGAGAGACCAACCTTAGGTCTGTATTCAAAAGCGTTCATGAATTATAACAATTATAATTCATGACAGTTAAGACGTAAAAAAAAAAAAATACATTTTTATAAAAGAATCACACTGACAAAACTTGTCATTCCTAGCCAAAAAAAAAAAAATATTAAAAAAAACCTCCGAACTAACTAGAAATACATTTTATTAATTCCCCAGATTTTTCCAGGGATGGAAAACCCACTTGAAATTTCCTGATATTTCCAAATGTTCCAGGATTGTTAGAGGAGCAAAGAGAAAAAGCATTATCAAATGCTTTACAAATTTTAATTACAGAAACTGATAGACTGTTTCATAATATAAAAAATTTACTTGCAATTTAGAAAAAAAAAAAATTTTTTATAAAAGAATCACACTGACAAAACTTCCTAGCCAAAAAAAAAAATATATTAAAAAAAAACCTCCGAACTAACTAGAAATATATTTTATTAATTCCCCAGATTTTTCCAGGGATGGAAAACCCACTTGAAATTTCCTGATATTTCCAAATGTTCCAGGATTGTTAGAGGAGCAAAGAGAAAAAGCATTATCAAATGCTTTACAAATTTTAATTACAGAAACTGATAGACTGTTTCATAATATAAAAAATTTACTTGCAATTTAGACATGCTTAATGCCATTAATTTAACATTAAAGAAAAGTGCAATTTAAAGGAGGTATTGCATTGGAGATAATGTCCTTACTATTTCTTGATACAGGAACAAAAAAACAACAAAAAAGAACATGCATTTTTTGAATCCTAAATTGGCGCCCCCTGATGGCGCCGCAGTGAACTGCATGCTGTGTCAGACAGACAGCTGGCTCTAATGGAGACCAGAGGAAATATGCAGCTCAGGCCTCGCCGCACGCATTCCTGCGCTCTGACAACACCGCAGCTCTCGGTCAAGGACAAAACACAGCGCAGACTGTGTGGGAAAGTCTTAGTCTTTGAAGATTACAGCCAAATGTAAGAACAGATCAAAGATATATAAAAATATATATATGATATTGGAAAAAGAACATTGGTTAAACTGAATTTGATGATTAACAAGACTTTCGACTCTGGTCCACTTTGTAGCTTAATCTGGAAAAAACATGCTCACTTAGACAAAAAGGACAACTGACATTCATAACCAAATTAACAGGCCTATGTACTATATTCTGAAACCATACAAAAGCTGAGGAACAGACCAAACTTTAAGACCAAGTTTACATTTCTGATACTTTTTTGGCACTTTTGCATTCTTTTGAGCTTGAAAAAGCTTTCGTTTCACTGTAATTGCATGGAAAATATTGTACTGATTTGAAATGAAGGACAATTAAAAAATTTAAGTCTAAATAAGTTTACATTTATAATACTAATGGTAATTTTGCCGCCTTTTGACAGCTTGAAAACTTGAGTTTCATTGCAAATTGTGCAGAAAACTGTCATATGAGTTTGAAACAACATGGAGGCGAGTGAAGAACAATTTTTTAATTTAAGTCAAAGTAAGATTAAAATGTATGATAATTTTGCATTTTGAGCTTAAAAACTAAAGTTTCATTGTAAATGCATGGAAAATATTGCATGTATGAAACTTGAAGGCAAGTAAATAACTTTTTTTATTTAGGTCTAAAGTTTAAGTTTGATACTTTTGTATCCAAACTTCAAAAGTTTTAGCTTTATTGTAATTGCATGGAAAATGGGTCATACGAGTTTGAAACAACATGGAGGTGAGTAAAGGACTATTTTCAAATTTAAGTCTAAATAAGCTTAAAATATGATAATTCTGCCTTTAGAGCTGGAAAACGGCATGTTTCAAACCAGTACAATATTTTCCATGCAGTTATGATGAAACTGAAGGCAAGTAAAATAAAATGTTCACATTTAAGTCTAAGATTAAATTTGATACTTCCATGGTAATTTTGTCGTTTGAGCTTGAAAACTTCTGTTTCATTGCAATTGCATGGAAAATATCACACTGCTTTGAAACATGAAGGCAAGTAAAGGACATTTTGTTCAAATTTATGTCTAATGTTCAATGCAGCACTGAATAATCCTGTGATGCCTCACCTGTGACACAGAGAGATGTGTCTGTCCAGACAGGCTCAGCTTCTCCTGCTCTGATGGATAAGCGTTGAAGCGATGCTCGTACAGCCAGTCCCTCAGAACCTGAACGGATTCTTTGGGGAGGTTTCCGCGGCGGCGGCGTTTGGCGGCAGACCCGCTTCTTCTGCCGCTGGTGGACAGGTTGAGAGGGTAACTGTCGTCTTCACACGGGTCGCTGTCCGACATGGCAGAAAACTCAGTGTCTCCGTTCTGGTCCTCCTCAAAAGCTGAGATGAAGACGACAACAGAACAGAACTATTGGTCTCAAAACAGCACACATGACAGAGGAATGAAAGTGACTTAGGTTAGGTCACAATTCACAAAAAGTTTAAAATGCCACAAATGTGTATAGCCTACTATGTATGCACATTTTTTGCATGCATAACTAGAGGATCTTCTAAATTTGGAAAAATGTAGTACAAGAGAACACACCGCATGCAATGCTGTATCCTAACAATGCAATGCTTCCATTTCATCAATGCAATTGAAATAGAGAATCAGGTCTTATCTTACAATGGAATTGTCTCGGTCTGTCATTTAAAAGTGTCCCACAGATAAATCCGCTTGACTGCACTCCATTTACACATCAAAACACTATAGAGTCTGAACTGCTCCTCCATTCACACCTTCACTATTATTACAGTGTCTCCTCACCCCCATCCTGACGCTCACAAACCAGAGGGAAATGAAGCTTATCTAGTGCACTATTGAGCTTTACAGGTGGTCCAATCAAGCGTTTTAAATTTACAATGAACATTATCATGAAAGCACTAACTGCTGATTATTAAGATAATCATTATCACCAGTATAATTCATGCATTTGATTCTGAATACGACCATTAACATTATGTAACCATGGCTGAAGGGGAATATGCTTTAAAAAAATGTACCTTTGAGGATCTGATCACATACCTATTTATTACCACCAAATTGAAGGATTGCATAACATTAAAAAAATAAAAATTTGAGGAGTGCATCCTTTCAAGGCCCTTAAACCCAAAACTAAAGTCAATGCTTGTTTAGACGAGGCCAATAAACTCTGGACAAGCACCTTAACAACTAAATTAGTTTAATGTTAAATTAAATTCTCAAAAACACACCAAAAGAGCTTTTAACTCATTGCACATAACAGTGTCACTCGGTATACCAGTTATTACAAATATTGTCAGCTGCATTACAGGATCTCCTCCAAACTATGTAAGAACCTGCATTTTTGACAGTGATAATACCAAGTTTCCATCTGTTTATTAAAGCAACAATCACAGAATTGACCTAAATACCACATTTCTGACAGAAACGGCAGACAGAGTGGTTCTGGGAAAAGCATGCGATAGCTAAACTCCGAGTGAATCAGACACACTCCAGCAGCTCAGAGATCCTTTCTCCTGCTGAAACCTGAAGCCTTAAAGAGCAGCGAAAAATGTGGGAGTTCCTGAGACCCACTTTAACAAAGCAGATTGTGTGTGTGTGTGTGTGTGTGTGTGTGTCCTCAGGACATTCATGCTCCAGTCTACAACTGTATCCCTGTTTCACGTATCATTTGTATCAGTTTTCTTCAATGTATGTTACAAATGAAAACTTGTGTTTCTTGAGGTAGTGGATCAATGATCTAACATAGAGCTGCGTTACAGATTATTACAAAACGAAAAGATGCAAAATGTAAAACTAATTAAAGTGGAATAAAATATTAGGGAAATCTTCCATTCTGAATTTCATGTGATTTTTTTTCTCTCCATTAGCCTACACAACTGTTAGTTCATGCACATGATTACCTAACATAAAATCAGTGCAACAAAATGCCTGAATGAACTCCACATTCAAGACGTCACTTCCCCCTGGCTTATTTTCACATTGCATGCTGATGGAAACGCATAAAGTGTATTTGTAGTTCCAAACAAACACGAGCAAACAATTGATTGAGAAACCTCCACATCTTCAACAGCACTTACTGTAACGCTGATTATTAGAAAACGCGTACGATTCAAACAAAATACAAGAGCGATCAAACAAAAGTCTGTTTGCAGACGCGAATAAACAAACGGCGCCGCAGACGCGCGAAAAAACGACTCCCCAAACAAACGCGCGCTGACGTCATCAGATCACAATGATACAATGTAACAAACGCGTGGACGTCACTAAAGCTGCGAAGATTCGAGGGCCCTTCAGAAATGCGTCTGAACGCGTAAGAAGCGAACGCGTGGATCAGCTGCTTTCCGAAAGGCCAGAATCAGAAGCACATCTGCGTCCCACGCGTTCAGACTGAAAATCACGCCACGCTCGCTCATAGACTGCGTGCAGACGGACAGCGTGCGATCAGACGCTAAACACCGTTCAAACGCGCAGCTGTCAGCGATTCTCACCTCTTTTATTGGGCTTCATCCTGGATGCTGGAAGAAGAAAAAAAAACACTCAAAATGTTGGAAGTTGCTGGTGTGCAGACGCGGGTCCTCGTCAAACGATGAGTGTGTTCCTCCCTCACACACACACACACACACACAGCTGCGAGTCAGATCAGAGAAGCTCCAGTAATCAGTGAATCTGCTCATTAGTGTTTCATGACATACGTTTACCTGCAGCTCTACTGCTCCAACAATCTCTCTCTCTCCTTGTCTCTCTCCCTCCGTCCGTCCCTCAATGACAGGCTCTAGGACCCTCCTCCACACTCCAGGGGCCAATAAGGGCCCCACATCTGTGTGTCATCACTCTTTCATTCAAAACTCACAATTCAAACACTTGTGAGAGTTTATTTTAAGAGCTACATTTTCCAGATTTTCATGTTTGGAAACTCCTTTCTATCTTCCAGACTTTTAAATAGACTAACTAATCTAATTTCGTACAGTACTAGAGTGACGTTTCCAAAACCGAATCACATTTAAACTTTCCTTTTAATTTAATTATTTGTCATTTTATTTTGTGTGTATTTCTCCTTCAATAATGTGTTATACGCGTGCTATTCTAACAAATATTTTTAGAAGCTGCTTTTCTTTTTAAATCATGTTTTGCATTTGATTATCTTCTTACTGCAACATCTGACTCTTTGTGCATTAGACACTTTATATGCACATGTTTATTATTGTTTTAATTGATTTAATTTTTGCAAATAAAATGTTTCATAAAAATTATATTTGTCATAAAAAGGATTTTTTAAAATATAAATAAAATATAAATATTTTCTGACTATATTATATTTATAATATATAAAATAACTATAACTATATTTTATTAAATATTTATACAATCTAAATCTATAATGTAATTTACAATTATTTTAAAATTCATTGTAATATTGTATATATATAGGCTATATATAACATTTAAATAAAATATTAATTTAGTCTAATTATAATATTTGTTTCTGTTTTTATCTTCCACCCACTTTTGGTTAGTATTATGTTAGCTTTAAGAGAAAATTTAATTGTGATTAGCATTTTTTATTTTGTTAAAATTATTTTATTTTATAATATTATAATAATCTTTCTATCTAATATCAATAAGCTGTGTAGCCTATACAAGGGAAAACGTTCATATAGATGAGTTTCTGTTGGTGTGTTTGTGTGAGTGTTAATGTTAGTGTGAGTCTGAACTGATAGAACCTGTATATCTCACACCTGTTGAACCTAAAAGATATAAAGTGCAAATATATTCATGTCATAGTATGGACCATGACAGGACGTGCAACATTATGTTTCTGAACAACAAAATGTTTCTTAATTACAAAGCGTAACTTTGCCAACATTGTGTGAACATTAAGGCCCGTTGGAATAAAAATCTCTTTTCATAAATGCAGTATTTGTAGGAAATGGTTCAGTGTTTGTTTGCATACAGATCAGATTTGTGATGTATTTTCTCAACGGCTGTGGCAAATCTCACTCTTTCATATGCAGGAATGTGCAGTTCACAGTCACAGAGAACAACAATTCCTCTAAACTCTGAAAAGAACTGCTCATATTTCACTTCTGCAGCTACACTGTAAAAAATGACCGTGAATTTAACGGTAAAAGACTGTAAAAATGCTACAGTAAAATCCTGTTAAATGGTTAACGGTAAATTCCCCTAGGCCTAAACTTCATATAGCATTAGACATATTGAACAAATCCTAGTCAGTAAAATATGTGCTTGTTTCATAAAATATTGATTATCAATCTTTATAATAATAATAATCTTAATTCTTGTCCCTACAAACTCTTGCATTTAGATGATTTATTGTTTGACACCCCCAAAAACTAGTAAAACACAGCTGAAGAAAGAGAGAGCGTCCCGTCAGGTGGATGTGGAGATCAGAGAGGGTTCGACCGCTGTTGTGTTACTCCACTGCTCAGTCACTTAACAGGTGTATAAAAGAGTTTATCTAGTATCCAAGCAGCATGAACAGAGAGGCGCAGAACACACATCCCTGTGTTGCAAACGAGAGTTTCTCCGAAACGCATCTGCTGCTCCAGATCCAGGTGTGCTGAGGAGATGAACGGTGTCTCTGTGATCCACATCCTCAGAGAAGCCCACAAACATGTGATCATACAGCCGGACATGAATGATGTGAAAATCAGTTTCACAACACTGAGACACCAGACAGTGAAAAACACAGGTCGTCAGGTGAACAATTTAAAGACATTCAACTGATACAATGATGTTTTCATAGAAAAAGATTGAGGCAATAAAAATAAATGATCATAACATGGTATCTATAGAGACGAATGCATATTTTTGCAAATATTGGTGTCGGTTGATTTGTCTGTATTTCTCAGTGTGCTTAAAACATTCGTGTCTGTTTCCATACGAGATGCTTCAGCATCCCTGAACAGAATTGATGCAACTTCTGATCAATATGTGATGATTCAAGACTCAAAATGATGCATTTGGTGAACAACTGCTCATGAAAATAAAATAAATAAATAAATAAAATAAAATATTGCATGTAAAGGGTGTTTTGGAATCAAAACTTTTTAGAATCTTGACAAAATACATATCGTCGGAAAGGTCTGAGTCTCAAGATTCCATATTTGGTGGTATGTGGTTTGTGACAGAAAAATGCATCAAAAAATTAAATGGAGTTTGGGTGTCACCAGGGGGCCAATTTTTGTATAACGCCTAAACAAAATTGCATGGTAACCTCAATTTTTTTTAGTATCAACTTCAAATTTGGAACACAACTTATTTAGACATATGGATTTAATTTTACGCCAAATTTGGATTAAAACCTGTTTTGTAAAATATTTGTTTGTTTTTCTTTTTTTTTTTCAGATCCGTCACTTTAATGCATTTGGATGTTTACTTTAAAAATTCCCATTCTTTTCAGATTTGTTCATTACTCTAATGCAGTTTTACGTTTTTCTTCCTACAAAATGACTGTAATTCATAAAAAAATTAATAAATAAAATTATTTTAAATTAAAGGTATTAACTATCATGACGTATAAACGCCATGAAATATAGAAATTATTTTTATTTAAATTCTATTTATACATCACGGTAGAATTCTTGTGCTTATCTCTGCAGATTTAATTGGGGAAATAGTACCAAAGGCTGGTAAAACATTAATAAGTCAGGTTGGTGTTCGTGGTTCATCTGATCTGAGCCTTGAGTTACACAGGATATGAGTGTTCAAATACTCCTGCACATGCTCCGGATCCATTATTCTGGTTTATCTGTGGCTGTCAGACGTTTGCAGGGCTGAATATGAGAGGACTGTGAGACATTCAGCAGGCGTCAACGACTCGACCGACACCAAACGGGGCGAACGACTGGGAGAGGCTGCAAACTGAAGACTTGCGAATCACACCATCAGCGGCCGAATGACACACAATAGAGGCCAATCAGCGGCAGTTTGGGGACATTTGTCACTGAATGCAGAGCTGCAACAGTTCATGAGTTCATGACAATGCATGTGATGAAAAATCAAGTATAAAGTAAAAAAGTTTGGGGTCAGTAAGATTTAAAAAAAATTTAAATTTGTATTCATCAAGGATGCATTAAATTGATCAAAAGTGACAGTAAAGACATTTAGAATGTTACAAAAGATGTCTGTTAAATAAATGCTGTTCTTTTTAACTTTGTTCATCAAAGAATCCTGAAAAATAAAATGTATCAAGGTTTCCACAAAAATATTGGGCAGCACATTTGTTTTCAACAGTGATAATAATCAGAAATGTTTCTTGAGCAGCAAATCAGCATATTAGAATGATTTCTGAAGATCATGTGACACTGAAGACTGGAGGAATGATGCTGAAAATTCAGCTTTGTGTCACAGGAATAAATTACAGTTTAACATAGATTCACATAGAAAACAGCTATTTTAAAGTGTAATAATATTTCACAATTTTACGTAAAAAAAAAAAAAAAGATCAAAATAAATGCAGCCTTGGTGAGGACTTTTAAAACATACAAAATCTAACCTACCCCAAACTTGTTAATGGTAGTGCATGGAAAGAGCAGTAAGAAACAAGCAGTAAGTTTGTATTAGACAAATCAGATTAAGTCACATGAAATATATAAAGGATGAAATTAAAACCGCATTAATATTAGAATATTTAGGTAAGATTTCTTAATTTGCATTTTAATCAAATACTTTTAAAACAAACCTAACGTCTCAGGTTACTTATGTAACCATGGTTCCCTGAGTAGGGAACGAGACACTGCGTCCTCTAGGGGTCGCTATGGGGAACGCCTCGTCGTGACCCGTGTCTGAAGCATACATTGAAAAACACCAACTCGGACGCAGTTCGAAGTTCCCATGAAAGGGAACCACCTTCTTTCATAAAAATTTTTTTTGTTTGTTTGCATAAAGATGTTTTTTGCATTTTTCTAACAATTCCAAGTCCAAATCGAACCACATCAAATGTGTATTTGTAATTCTCTGTATTTGTGAAAATTCCCAGTAAAGACTTTCTCAAGAGTTTACAACATCCCTGAACAACAGTTACAGAAGAGTCTGCTTTATCTAGTCAAATCCGTCATATTCGATGCTATATTCAAACTAACAGGACATGAGGAGGTGCGACAAGTACAGATCTGTGCAGTTTGAAAGAGAAACTGGACGATGAAAAGGAACGAAGAATCATATTTAGCTCTAAGTTTTATCCCACCGCCAAAGCGTCTACACTACGTGTTTTAGGGAGTGCTGATTAAATTGTGATATTATAATCTTTGATATTGCTACAAGGGTCGTAAAGTTACCCACAATAATGATCCACAGGCACTTCATTCAATAAAACATCAGGTTAGGTTGCTTTCCTTAAAGCAAAGCAGAAATAACAAGGACTATTAGGATTGTTTAAACTCATGAGAACTGGACAACCGTGAGACGTTAGGACCTGAGACGGAGATATACCACAACGCATGATTTGTAAACATCAAAACATGGGAAACGGAAGAGCGCCACCTGCCGCATCAAGCAGCAGCTGGTGCGACGTTCGCTTGCATCGATCCAAACTGTTAACAAAAGACGAGGAGCATCTCTGGTGAAGGAAGAGAGGAAGAAGAACAGGAACCGAAGCGTGTAACAGGAAGACGTGGATTCCACGCGAGCGGCGGGAGTGTTTCTACGATACAGGAGTTCTTATCCAGAACATTTAAAACAATCTAGGACAATAATCATAATCAATAGCAGTCCGATATGAATTATCATATCAATAATAATATTATTCATTGCAACTAATACGATTTTTGTTGTGAGGTTTTCCTTGGCAGTCTGTTTGCACTGCGTGGTTTCCGTCCCCCTCTCTCACCTCGACGCCGTCAAAAGCAGCTTTTGGTGTTGTGTGTGACGCCGGAGCCCTTGAGCTTGTTTGGTGTGCGTCTCCTCAGAGCCGCGTCTGCGCCTCGGGCACGTAGATCTCGATGCTGTCGGCGCTCTCGGTGGCCGAGTTCTGCTTGACGGACTGAGCTCTCTTGGCCGCCATGAGCCGCTTGCGAGCCTCCTGTCTCTGTTTGTCCACCGAGTCGTTGCTCTTCTCTCGGCCCAGGCCGGGTTTACTCTTCCCAGGCTTCTTGGGCACCGGAGGAGCCTGTTTCTGTTTCTCCTGAACGCCACACAACCGGAAAGATCAGAGATGGAGAGACACAAACCATAAGAAACTGGCTCTTAATGCATTCATGTACTGGAGTCAGAGGTATAACGGTACACGTATTCGGTGTGAGTGTGATCATCCCTTCCTCTTTCCTACTAGTTTTAATGTGAAATAAACATGAATGAACATCTCATGCCTCGTGTAATGTGTAAAAGATGTGATTAGTAGTAGCAGTAGTAGTATACTTTTATTTAATGCCATGTCAGCATCTTAGGCTATTTTCATGGCAAAACAATACAAATATAACAAATACAATAAAAACCAGCAAACAAACAAACACAAGTTATATTACATTAACATATGTGACATTGGAGCACAAAAGCAGTCTTAAGTCGCTGGGGTATATTTGTAGCAATAGCCAAACATACATTGTGTGGGTCAAAATTATCGATTTTTCTTTTATGCCAAAAATCATTAGGATATTAAGTAAAGATCATGTTCCATGAAGATACTTAGTAAATTTCCTACTGTAAATATATCAAAACTTAATTTTTGATTAGTGATATGCATTGCTAAGAACTTCATTTGGACAACTTTAAAGATGATTTTCTCAATATTTAGATTTTTTTTGCACCCTCAGATTCCAGATTTTCAAATAGTTGTATCTCGAACAAATATTGTCCTATCCTAACAAACCATACATCAATGGAAAGCACATTTATTCAGCTTTCAGATGATGTATAAATCTCAATTTCGAAAAATTGACCCTTATGACTGTGGTCCAGGGTCACAGATGATAAAAATTCTAAAACTATTTCTGGCAAAATTATACTAAATAACTCTTTAAGTGAGTTCACTTCATAAAAGAGTTTTCTACATACATTAAAAGCTGGACAGTCCAATAAAATATGTTTGACAGAAAGGGGAACCTTGCAAAACATGCATTGAGCAGGGTCTTGTGTGACCTGTGCGACATCTGCTAAATACCAAAAGATGTGATTAAAACGGCTTTTTAAAACGTAACATTTCATTTACCTCAGGCAAGTCATCAGTGTCTACAGCTCGTTAGTTCACCAGAGAAATCAAGTCTAGAGAAGAGCATTTCGCCAAATATCAGACTACATTACATTTTATTTTACCTGTTAGTGATGTCTTAATTATTTAATGTAGGTTATATTTAAATAAATCTTTCATGAAACAAGTTATGAGTGCAATTTACATGTTTGCATACAATTTTTTAATTTGAGTGTTGATTATTATAGTTAAAAATAAATCGTAATTAACTTTAAGTTTGGACTCTGTTGTTAACTGTAAGCCTAATGTAAAAGGGCTCCCTATAGTTTAGAGCAGAGGAAGTATTCAGAATAATTTTAGTAACGGAAATAAAGCTGAAATAAAATCAAATATAAACATTAGATGCAAAAATTTAACTTAAACTTGGCAACTAACTGAAAATAAGTTATTAAAAGTATTTATTATAGTTATTAAAAACAACTATTATTAATAATGGAGTAGCAATAATAATTGACAATAATTACACAGCAAATGAGTATATTAGAATGATTTCTGCAGGGTCATGTGACACTGAAGACTGGAGCAATGATGCTGAATTACATCTGAAAATACATTACAGTAGAAAACCATTCTTTTAAATAGCAATAATATGCCACAATAATACTTCAATTATTGTTACTGCATTTTTAGTAAAATAAATGCAGCCTTGGTGAAGAGACGTCCTTCAAAAACATGATTCCAAACTTTTGACTGTTAGTGTAAATTAAAGCTAAACAGAAATATATATATATAAAAAAAATTTCATAAGCACAGGACAAAATTACTAAAACTTAAACTAAAATAAAAATGCTACTGAAATATGTTTAAGTTGACGTATTATAATAATTACTAAAATTCAAATAAAAATGAATTTGAGCTAAATAGTAATAGAATAATATTAAAAACAAAACAAAATGTCTAAAACATAACAAAATGACTTAAAAACTGAAAATATAAAAATAAAAGCCAATTCCTAATACTATAAATAATACTAATTCTGAGTGTGAATGTCTAGTGTATTTACAGTTTGCAAATGACAATGTATCATCTGCATGGCATTTATTTCTCTATTTATTTCATTAACTTTGTACCTGCTTCTCCGGCGAGTCTCCCTGCAGCTTCCAGTCGTTTGATTTGAGATGATAAAGCTCGTCAAACTTGAGGCTGATGTCTTCTATTGAGAGCTGAAGAAGATCCCAAAACCCAGCCAGATCTTGAGCCGTGGGTCTCGGGTTTGCGTTCACATTCTGAACAGACAGGGAAACAAAAATCTCTTTAATACGGAATAGCATTTCACACAAGTTTATCTTCAGTTGTCCACAAGGGGGCGACACGTCTCAAGATAAGTAGTTCTGTTGCTCATAAACATGCTGCTCTTGGCGTTTTCTGATTCTGAGAAGCTGATTTGAGAACTAACAGGGACGTGCAGAGAGTTCCTCAGGGGCAGGGGCTCAAATGTAAAATAGGGGCAATGTAAAAAAAAAAACAAACAAAAAAAAAAAACAATAAATAAATATATATGTATGTATATATATATATATATTGCTAAATTATATGATTTTTTTTTTATTTAAAAAAAAAACCCACTAGCTTTCTATTTTTTCTATTCTATCTACTTGTTTTTCTTTGTGTGTGTGTGGTCAAAGTCTAGACCCTGAATATAAGACGACCGCGTTTTTTCAGACGTATTTCCAAGAAAAAAACATTGTCTTATATTCGGGACAATACGGTATATTAAAATAGAAAAACATTATTTTAAATTGCAATAATATTTCACAATATACATTTTTTTCTGTATTTTTAAACAAATAAATGCAGGCTTCAGCATAAGACACTTTCATAATGCTGCATAATTATCACTTTTCATAATGCATGACCATTTTGCCCGCCTACACTTCACATAACAGGCCTGTAGGTGGCACTTGGGCTTCATTAACTATGATAGTTTCATGAAATAGTAAACGGTCTAGCCTACCATACATACATATAAGTGAATTGAATACGGATTACCATTATTGCGACTTTTGGCGCTGCACGGTTTTGTGCCGTGCTTTTGTAGTCATTTAGCATCCATTTTCTCAGCGATTTAATTTGATTTATAAAATGAGACAAAGCGCAGATCCAGATCGCTCCACAAATGTAAGCTCGTCTGTCCATGCAATTTTCAACTGATTTATGAATAAGAATGGGAAATGACCGCTCCACTTCACATTATTGTCCAATGAAATTTGAACTTCTTGTGCCAGATTATGATTGGCTAGTGTATTATATAGCTACATGACAAGTGGGCATTGATGAATTATGTAATATTCTAAAATAATTAAATCGACACACTAGCCTTGATTACTGACGAAAAAAAGTTTAAAATATTGTTTATTTTATTTTTTCCTTCCGGCGACCCACTCACTGAAAGAAGGTTTCCGAAAAGACGGTGGAGTCAAAACCAAAACGCATGCAACCATAGCAACGATTTTGAGCGATTAATTATTGTTACACATTGCCATGCTAATTATAATTAAAATGCATTTTGTTTTATTGACCACAATATCATTGCTATTTGTCTGAGGGGCACTTTTGAATAATTTTGAAAAAGGGCAGGGGCTTGAGCCCCCAAAGCCCCCCCTTCTGCACGTGCCTGATAACTAATGCTGAACTTTAGTCAGAACGGATGCAGTATTTGAGTTGACGTACAAAAACAGACTGAAATACAGACTTTAAAGAGCCTCACAAGAGATATTTTGAGGAATGTGTGCAACCGAACAGCTGATGGTCCCTGTTGAGTTTCATAGAATTTTCCCCCCATTCTATACAAGTCTATGGGTTACAGCAACTGTTTGGTTACCAACATTCTTCAGAATGTCTTCTTTTATGTTCAACAGAAGAAAGAAACTCATACAGGTTTGGTGAGTAAATGATGACAGAAGTTTCATTTTTGGGAGAACTGTCCCTTTAATGAACACAAGCAGAATGAATTTGTGTATATTGTGTGTAAAATCATTCTTACAGAAATCGTTGCACTAAATTGAAGATAACAGCGGTTTTGCGAATAATATACACAAATTTATTCTGCTCCTGATGCTAGATACTTCAGTCTCAGCAAATGAAACGCTGAGAATAAATCATTTTGTCCACTGGAAGCGTGTGATAAGACATACTCAGTGTTTCACTGACTGAATAAACAACACAGGAGCATTTTGAGCTTGAACTGCTGTGATTGACCTACCAGGTTTTGGTCACACAGGCCTCTGAACTGCTGGAACTTCTGGGACATGAGGAGCTGAGCGCAGCCCACCGCGCTACGCACCTTCCCCAAAACTACAGACAGACAGAGAGAGAGAGAGAGAGAGAGAGAGAGAGAGAGAGAGAGAGAGAGAGAGACAGAGAGAGAGAGAGAGAGAGAGACACACACAGACAGAGAGAGAGAGAGAGAGAGAGACACACACAGACAGAGAGAGAGAGAGAGAGAGCAGAGATCTGTAAGTGTTTGGCAGAAAGAGCTGATGAAAACAAATGAAGTGAACCAGGCGTATATAACAGACAAACAGAGACTGTGAAGAATGGTAGAAACACTAGAGCTGCTCAGAACACATGTAATTAACCTAATTAATGAGGCACTTTGTTTCATTCATTAAGAGAAATCAAAGCCTGTGTGCCACTTCAAAAGGTCTAACTAATGAACTTACTAATGAAATCACAAAAACCCCTGAAATCACCTACAGCAGTGTTATTGGAGTCATTTTATATACTGCTATTGTATTTGTTAATATTTTGAATTAGCTCCTATTTCTATATTTTCAGTTTTTAGTCATTTTCATTTTTTTTATACTTCTATTTAGCATTGAATTTGTTTTTCTTTTTCTTTCAGTTTTAGTAATTATAGTACTTCAACAAAATTATTTTTTCAGTAACACTTTTAAGTTTTAGTTTTTTTTTGTTTAAGTCTTTTAAGTTTTTCATCTAATATTTAGTATATTAATACATTCAGTTTTCCTTTTTAATTTTAACTTAAGTTTTATTCATTTTTTATGTGCCTTTGACATTTTTATTAGTTTCTTGGGCTAACATATAGAATATTAATATAGTACAATATTTTGTCATATATATATATATTACGGATGCACCGAAATGAAAATTCTTGGCCGAAGCCGAACAAAATGAAACACTGGGATGAATATCGAACACCTAACGGTTTTTCACGTTTCCCCCCCCCCCCC